CCCCTGGGTTCTTCGGCGCGCCCCATTTTTTTTTCTTTCCGGTTGGGCCTCCATGGGTCTTAGGTTGGAGTCACCCGGGTGATGCTCCCTCTCCCTTGCCCAGATAATCCTCGGCATGCAGGAGGCCCGCCAGAACCACGCTCAGCTGCTCACTTTCATCAGGAAGATCGATTCCAAGCCCTGCATGCACTATTCCTTCGCGCCAGGTCACCATGGTGAGGTCAGCGGCGGCGTCTCTACACTCTTCCCTGCAGTTCTGCAGGATGATAGCGAAGCCCTCCTTCCTGGCCGCGCACTGCGAACCATATTCCGAGCCGACGACCAGAAGCTGATATTCTACAAGATCCACAATTACGAGATCAACCACGCGACGGTCAGGCGCATTTCGACGAAGATCCTCAGCGACCTGCACCGTGCGAAGGCCGACCCGAGCAAGGCGGTGCTGTTCTTCCTCGGGGACTTCAACTTCGCCGCCGTCGGGAAGTTGAAGCTCACCGAGCCTGCCGCCAGAGCCTCCTCTGAGGCCACTGAGACATCGAAGTCATCGGCGCGCAAATGGCACAGTGCGTTCAAACATTTAGTGGAAGTCGAGGGAAATGGCACCGCGCACTACTGCGCCGAGACCATGGCCGAGTCGACCGTTGACCGATGCTTCTGTTCCTTCACGCCATCCCAGATGATCCAGCTGGCCGTCACCTCCACTACCTTCCCCACCCCTGAGGAGCTGTCTCGCCGTCGAGTCAGCGACCATGCTGCTCCTCATCTCCTTCGCCGCGCGCGACCTCAAGGCCGAGGAGAACCAGCCGAGTGCCCAGTGCTTTTTCAAGTCCCCCATCTTCAAGCAGATCGCGGAGAAGGTGTTCAGCCGGACTGACCTCGACAAGCTGCCGCCTCCGTCCAGACTGATCCAGAGTGCGGAACCCCTCCGAGAAGTTGGTCGCGCTGCTCAAGATCGCCTTCACGAGGGGCATCCTGGGCTGGGGGAAGTCCAACTCCAGCTAGCCAAGTCGCTGGCTCGTGCTGTCCAGCGTCAGGATCGTTCGCTCGCCGCCCGCCTTCTCCGAGTCCACGCCCCGCGCCGAAGCTCAATGCGTCCTCGATGCAGGCAAAGACCAGATCAAGCTCGCCGGCCCCGTTAAGTTCGAGGAGTGGGCCAGCAATCTCTTCCGACAGGGCGCTGCTCAACGCCGAGCTGCCGTCGACCTGGCCCGTCAGAGGGGCCGTCTCCCGCCTGCGCAAGCTCGCGCGCAGTCTCAGGCTCTGCGCCGCCAGACCCAGCTCTGGAACCCGATCAACCGACGCTTGGTGCTCACCGGTGCGAAGACGAGCGTCGGGGCTGCGACGGGGCCGACCGAGAGATTGCAGAAGCACGTGGAACACTGGCAACCCGTCTTCCAAGGCAAGAGCGTGGACACCGCGAAGGCGGAGAGCGACCTCGACCACTTCGCGCCCAAGATCGACTTCAACAAGTACAAGCCTCCCGACTACGACGCGCTCAAGAGATTCGCGAACAGGTCTTCTTCTACCTCGCCTGGCATGGACGGGCCCTCCTACATCGCCTGGTCCGCGCATGAGAAGTGCACGAAGACCCTCTGGCACGTCATGCGCTGGATGCTTGGCGGCGGCCTCCTCCCCGACGAAGCCAGTGCGACGCCCCGGGCCTTCCTCCCCGAAGGGGGGGCCAGGCGACGCGGAGCACATCGGCTGCCACCGTGACCCGTCCAAAGTTCGAGTTCTCGGGCTTTGGAACCCTTTTCAAGTTCATCAGCAGCACGATGAACGCCGCGATGGCCACGGTGGCTGCCGACGCGGCCCCGGCCTCGCAGCGGGCTTCATCCACCCCCGCAACTTCGACCACAACAATCTGGAGCTGGATGTCGAGAGCCGCGCCGCGTCCGCCGACCCCGACGTCATGGCCAAGCTGCCCGCGCAGGCGTCGCTGGACATCGCGCAGGCTTTCCCGAGCTTCGCGCGCCAGTTCATCCGCCTCGCGCTGATGGTCACGGGCGCCTCCGGGGCAGCCCTGAACTTCGACGCGATGTGCCGCGACATCCTCGCGATGGCCCCGCGCGCTGGCAAGTGCACCCCGCTCTTCTACATCCGACCGGGCATCGTCCAGGCCCGCGGGTGGAGTGGCGCGCTCTGCGCGATGGGCGCCGCCTGCTTCCTCCTCGACCTCGAGAAGAAGCTCGAGCTCAGGGGTCTCTGGCTCTGCAGAGCATGCGCCGACGACCTCGGGCTGGCGCTCGCGGCAGTGGCCCGCCTGACCCACCCGGCAGGGGCGATGGTTCTCGCGGGGGACCTTGCTAGCCTTGCGCCGAGGCCTGCCAAGTGCGGCATCATTCCTCTCGCGGGCCCCGTCGACGACGAGCTCGTACTCAAGCTGCGCAACGCCCTGATCGCGATTGTTCCCGGCTTCCAGGAGCTCAACATCTGCGACCGCCTGACCTACCTCGGGCCCCGGCTGGGCCCCAGGGCGACCGAGAGCCTGATCTACGCGAACGCCATCCATAAGTTCCGCTGTCGCATTAAGATGCACAGCGCCAGCGACGCTCCCTCGATGGGCTCCGCCCAGCTGTTCAATGGCCGCGCCCCCCCTGTCCTCAGCTACCTAGCCAAGGGCGCCCCATTGCCCCGCGAGCTCTTCAAGTCCGAGAACTGGGTCAACGCCTCGGTCCTGCGGTTCCCCAACGGCGCGTTCAGGGTTAAGGGCTGGTCGAGGTTGAGGGACTGGGGGGCCCGCGCTCCTCGATCCATGCAGCTCGCGATGATTGCCGCGATCGCCCGAGCTGCCACGCCCGCCTTCCGCGAGTTCCCTGGGGCCCGCGAGCGCCTCCGCCGGGGCCCCGACCAGTGCTGCGATGTCCAGGCGTTGCTTGGTGCTGCTCGGGCCGCCTTGCACGTGTCCCCGCCCTGGAGGAAGTTGCCGCCCTTTGTTGAGATGCTCCGCCAAATTGTGTCAGTGGCGGCGAACCGCCACTACTATCCGCCCGCGCCGCTTGCCCCTGCCCTCGAGGCTGCGAGGGCGGCCCCCGCAGCAGGCAAGCCCGCTCGTGCCCAGAGGCTGGCGCACGCTGCTGCGAGGGGCGCGCTGGGCTCCGACGCGATCGCTCCACTCCTGACGTCGAGGATCGCGATCAAGCTGCCCGGCCTTGGCGTCCTCTTCGAGCGCGACCCTGAGGTGATCGTCAGGGTGAAGGACGCCATGAAGAAGTTGCCGCCGTCGTGGGCTGCCGCGTGGATGTGGGCGCTCTCCTTCTCATGGCTGGCTTCGAGCAGGATCATATACGATTGCGGGCGCAGGGCCTGCCTGCATTTTTCAGTGCGCGGACTGCGCCGACTCCCGGAAACACTACCTGGCGCGCGACCCGCTTGCCGCGGCGGTCGCGGCTGCGACCCGCGATGCTGTCCAGAGCGAGGCCGTGGCGAACCTTGGGTTGCTGGACGTCTCCATCGAGAACATCGAGCGCATCGTGGTCGCCTGCGGCACCTACCACATGTTCCGCTCGGAGTTCGCTGTCGACGCCGAGACCCTGCGGTCGACCGCACGTGCTGCTTTGCGAACCTCGCGGACGATGCGCAGGCCCCCGATGGTGCTGCGGGCTCCTCTTCCTCATGCTAATGGAGTCACCGCACCTGCATTTTCCAGGTTCACTAACAAGGAGCGCGCCGCCCCCGCCGCGGCCTGCTCCCTCCACCCGTGGGCGCTCCTGCGAGCAGGGGCTGGGCACGGAGGCCGAGGTGCGGCCGCGCGCTGGGGCGGGCGGCGCCGTGCCGTCGGCGGGAGGCAGAGCGCCTCAGCACGCTCGACTCCTCCTCCTCCTCCGCCTCCTCCACCGCCGCCTCCTCCTCCTCCTTTTCCTCCCCCTCACCCTCCCCCTCCTCCTCCTCCTCCTCCTCCTCCTCCTCCTCCTCCTCCTCCTCCTCCTCCTCCTCCTCCTCCTCCTCCTCCTCCTCCTCCCCCCGGAGGATCGGACAACTCCCAGTCGGAGGTTTCAAGTCCAACCCGGAAGTTTCTTCTTGCATTCTGGATGTTTTTTTCCCAGCAAAGGCCCGACCTCCCAAGCGAAGCTGTAGTCTTTCGATTCTCGGAGTCCTCCCTCCCGCGGAGGTGAGTCTGGTGTGGCGAGAGGTGGGGGCAGTGAAAGGGGGGGGGGGCTACGACATTTGCTGCGTGCAGCTGGTTTCGGCCCCGCCGCCAGGCGCGTTCCTCGATACCTTGGCGTCTCTGTCGAGAAATCAGCTACAACAGTTACGGGCCCCCGGATTACAGGGCCCCCCCCGACTGCAAGGGCGCCCCCACGACTACAAGGACCCCCCCTCACTACTGAGCCCCCCCCACCCCCAAGACTATAAGAACCCCCCTTGGCAACAGGGCCCCCCCCCCGGACTACAGGGCCCTCCCCCCGCACAGTTGGTCACCCCTCCTAAACGGTGTTGAAATAGATGAGGTCGGATGATCGCGCCGCATCGTCGATGCATTGGCATTGCATCGGCGAATTCGGCGATGTATCGGCGACGTCTGCGCGGAGGAAGTAGGGTTCCACGTCGACCCACATCGCCACATGCATCGGCGAGCGGCGCGATCATCCGACCTCATCAACAATCACCCCGCGAAGCAAGCACGACCTACTTTCCAAGGCTGCCCTTGCATCCTTCCCCGTTCGGCCTATCCTTGGCCGCCCCCGCTGGCCGCGCCAAGCCCGCGGAGTGTCGACATGGCCCTCCAAGGCCCCTGCATACGTGTCGTGCATCCTTATTGATTGGTGTGGTTGATTGCACGCGAACTCCATGTGGGAGGCTGATTCGCTACAGTGGAAGATTGTGCCAGGGAACACCCTGCTTGCCTCCAGGGCTTCCGTGCTTTCGCGAGGGGAAGCGTGAAGCCCCCACACCGAAAACCAGTGGGCGTCCTGAGGCCTCAGGGTCGGGCTCCCCGTGGAGGGTTTGTCGTGGTCGAGCCCCTCCTGTACTTGCCCCCCCCCCTGCGCCCTGGCGAGGACCGCCGCGGCCGCGGCGCGGCCGCGGACTCGGGCAGCGAGTCGAGCCCCTCCCCGCGGTCCGACGCCCCCGCCGGCGCGGCGAGGGCGTCCGCACTGCTGGCGAAGGGCCTCGGGGCGGCCGAGGCGACGGGCGGGGCCCTCGCCGCCGCAAGAGGGAGGAGGAGGAGGAGGAGGGGGAGGGGGAGGAGGAGGGGGAGGAGGAGGAGGAGGAGGAGGAGGAGGAGGAGGAGGAGGAGGAGGAGGAAAAAGAGGCGTGGGGGGGGGAGGAGGAGGAGGAGGAGGAGGAGGGGGAGGAGGGTGAGGAGGAGGAAAAAGAGGCGGAGGAAGAGCAGGAGGAGGAGCAGGCGGAGGAGGAGGAGGAGGAGTCATTCCTAGGCAAAGGGAGGAGTTATTCAGAAGGAAAAGAATGGTAGGAGAGGAGGAGGAAGGGGAGAAACAGGAGGAGGAAGACCAGTGGAAACCTAAGATTCATCAAAGATGTTTGTGTCAGCCCTCCCTTCAAGCTCCCTCTTCACCGGCCCCTACAATGGTTCATTTCCATTGATGGAGCTGCCTCGTTGGAAGACACATGTTTGAAGACCCTGAAACATGCCAAAACATTGTTCTCGAATTCCAACGCCACGGATCAGCCTGACTGTTGCGTCTTGACGATCCTGAATCGTGCCAGGAAGCCATTCCTAGGAGTTCAGCACAGATAATCAACGTAACTGTTGTGCCCGCAGAGTCCTGGATCCTTCCCACACATGATTTCTGGTACGTTGATGATGGGAATCCGTGAAACGCTTGCCATTTGTTTAACGACTGTGCCCGACTATCAGACGAGAGCCACGTTTTGAAAACGACCTGCCCTCAATCCGTGAAGCTCTTGGAACTGTTTGGAACGAATGTGCGCCGCGCTAAGGCGAGAGCCACATTTTGAACAAGAAGCACCCTCATTCCGTGAAGCTCTTACATTTATTGTTTTAAAGAATGTGCGCCGCGCTATATGGCGAGAACCACATTTTGACAACGGCCCGCCCTCAATCCGTGAAGCTCATGCATTTTCCTATCGAGTGTGCGCCACGCTAAAGCGAGAGCCACGTTTTGAAAACGACCCGCCCTCAATCCGTGAAGGTCTTGCAAATTTCAAAATCGAATGTGCGCCGCGCTAAGGCGAGAGCCATATGTTGAAAACCACCCGCCCTCAATCCGTGATACTCTTGCCAATGTTTAAGCTTCAGAGTCATAAGCGGTAGGGAAGTCTTAGGCGAAACGCCTGGCTCGCCCTAAAAATTGGCCTCGGGGTGCGACAGGGGAAAGTTCTTAGAAGGAAAAGGAATGGAGGAGGAGGAGGAGGGGGAGACCAGTGGGTAAACCCAAGACTCATCAGCGATGTTGGAAGACACCCCCCCCTGCAGGCCCCTTCCTTCTTCATAGGCCCCATACAAGGGTTCATTTCCACTGAGGGCCGTGCCCCAGGGGAGGAAAACTGTGCGAAATTCTTGAAACGGGCACAAACACCGTTCTCAGGATTTCAGCGCCACGAGTCCACCTTACTGTTGCGTCTTGACGACTCTGAATCGTGCTAGAACGCCGCTCCTTGGACGTCAACGCCGCGAATCAGCGTAGCAATCGCGTCCAGACAGGTCTGAATCGTTCCGAAACACCAGTTCTGGTACGTTAGCCATGAGAACCAAGGAGATTCTTGCAACCGTTTGAAACGAATGTGCGCGGTGCTAAGGCGAGAACCACATTTTGAAAACGATTCGCCCTCGACCCGCAAAGTTTTTAACATTTGTTGAACGAAGAATGCGAGCGGCGCTAAGGCGAGAGCCACATTTTGAACACCACCCGCACGCAATCCGTTAAACTATTACGATTGTTTTAAGACGAGTGTGCGCGGCGCTAAGGCGAGAGCGAAATGTTGGAAGCGGCCCGCCCTCCATTTGCGGAGCTATTGCCAGTTTTTAAGCTTCAGACTCATAATTGACAAGGAAGTCTCCGGCGAAACGCCTGGCCCGTCTTTCCTTCGGAGTGGCTTCGGGGTGCGACCGGGGGGAGTTGTTCATCAGGATTGGAAGGGGGAGGACGAGGGAGGGGAGAAGGACGGGGAGGAGGAAGAGGAGGAGGAGGAGGGGGAGGACAAGTGTAAACCCAAGATTCGTCAACGATGTCGGAATACACCCTCCCTCCAAGCTCCCTCTTCATAGGCCCCATACAAGGGTTCATTTCCACTGAGGGAAGTGCCCCGTTGGGGGACAACCGCGTGAAAATTCCGAAGCTTGCCAAAACACCATTCTGATGACTTAAACGCCACGGTCCACCTGACTGCTGCGTTTTGACGATCCTGATTCGCACCAGAACACCATTCCTGGGATTTCAACACCGCGAATCAACATTAACTGTTGTGCCATGACAGTCCTGAATCGTTCCTCCTGAATCGCTCCAGAAGGCCATTCGTGCTTCGTTAACCATCAGAACAAATGAAACGATTCCAATGTGCTAATAATTTGTGAATCGAATGTACGCGACGGTAAGGCGCGAACCGCATTTTGAAAAGATGCCGCCCTCAATTTGTGAAACTGCTTGCACATTTGTGAGACGAATGCTCGCGGTGCTAAGGCGAGAGCCACATTTTGAAGACGACCCGCCCTCAATCCGTGAAGCTCTTGCAGTTTCTAACATCGAATGTGCGCGGCGCTAAGGCGAAAACCAGTTTCTGAAAAACACCCACCCTCAATCCGTGAAGAACGGGCAAATGTTTAAAACGAATGTGCGTGGCGTTATGGCGAGTTCCACATTATAAAAACCACCCGCCTTCAATCAGTGCAATTCCCTATAACTTCGGTCTGGCGAATGGCGCTGCACAAAGGCGACGGCCACATTTTGGAAGCGGCCCGCCCTCCATCTGTGAAATTCTAGTTAAAAAATTTCAGAACCGTAAGTGGTAATGAAGAAAGTCTCAGGCGAAACGAAGGCGGGGGGGAACTTCCGAGCCTTCTGAGAGGGCGCGCCCCTTCTCACTTCCCCCCCGGACCCGCCGCCGATTGACTGTACTCGGACCCCGCCTTGGAAGCATCTACTGTCGTCCCTTGCCTGGCGTCCTTCGCGGCAGAGCAACGTTCGACTATACGTAAGAGTGACCCTTCGCCAGAGTGACCTTTGGTGCGGGTCCACTGGGGCCCCCCGATCGCCGAACGCGATGCGATAGTGGCGTATTGGCGTCTTGCGCGCTCGTGTTTGCCCCCCCCCCCCGGCCTCCAAAAAGCAACGCGCCCAAGGCCACCCTTACCCAGGGTCACTCTTGCGTGCACAGTGACCCCGCATAGCAAGGATGGGTAACCTTCCCAAGGGTACCCTTGCATCCTTGCATCCTCGGTCCATCCTTCGCCACCTCCGCTGGCCGTGCCCCGCTCGAGAAGCTTCGACATGGGCGTCCAGACCCCTTGCATCCTTATCGCGCATCGGGAGGGCCTTTTTTCCACCACCACCACCACCACCACCACCACCACCACCACCACCACCACTACCACCATAAGTTGGAGGGGGGAAGGAGGAGGGGACGAGGAGGAGGAGGAGGACGAAGAGGAGGACGAAGAGGAGGACGAAGAGGAGGACGAAGAGGAGGAGGAAGAGGAGGAGGAGGAGGAGGAGGAGGAGGAGGAGGACCCCCTCCCCCTCCAACTCATGGTGGTGGTGGTGGAAAACAGGCCCATCAGCATCCTTCTGATACGGGCCGACTGTAGTCGAAACGTGACAGCGGCGGCGCCCCCCCCCACGCTGCAGGCGATGGCGGCGGCGGAGGGCCTGCAGCGCCTGGCCCTCGGCGCGGCGGGCAGCGACTCCGACGCTGGCGCCGACGGCGCGGCGGACAGTGAGGTCGACGCCTGAGGTCGGAGGCCCCGAGGTCGGCACCAGCACCAACATCTTGGCGGGGAGTCCGGGGGGAAGTGAGAAGGAGAAGGCCTTCTCAGAAGGCTCGGAAGACGCCCCCCCGCCTGCCGAGATGCTCTCTGAACCCTTCCCGAGGGCAGCAGAAGATTTCTTAGAAGGCCGGAGGGCTTCTGAGAAACCCCGCCGCCTCCTGAGAAGGCCTTCTTCTTCTCACTTCCCCCCCTCGCTCGCCGCGAAATATCGGCGGTGTGCCTCCACGGGGGGACGAGGATCCCGATCTCGGCGATGGCGGTGAGGTTCGGACCTCCCAGGTGGCTGGAAGATGCTGGACGCTTCCCGTCCCCCTTGGGGTAGGATAGAGGAGGAACCAGAGGGGGAGAAAGAGGAGGAGGAGGAGCAGGAGGAGGAGGGAGGGGGGGAGAAGGGCGGAGAGAGACGGGAGGAAGGAGGAGGAGGAGGACTATGCGGATGAGGATCAGGAGGAGGAGGAGGAGGAGTGCGAACAGGAAGGGCCGAGGCCTTCTGGATGCTTCTCGGAGTCTCTTCGGATGCCTCGAGAGCTTCTTCTAGGCCTGTTGGGGCGTCTGGGTGGCCTCGGGGGGGCCTCTTGGGCGGTCTCTCGGGAGCCTTTTGGAGGCACCTTGGGGGCATTTTGGGAGCCTCTTGGGCCTCCTGGGTGCATCATGGTGTCCTCTTGGGACACTCTTGGGAGCCTCGGGGGCCATCTTGCGGCCATCTTGGAGGAGATCGATCAAAGATGTGGGGGTAGTAAATTTGCGCCCCTGCCCTCCAGGAGGCCAAAATCGGGCCAACACCGCAGTAAAGTCAATGGTTTTGGTCTTCTTGCCGAGGGCAAACAAGACCCCCCTCCTCCATGTCCAGGGGGAGGGGGGAGGGGGAGGGGTAAGCCCCTCCCCGAAGGGGAAGAAAGGGGTTGGAAGAGGAAACTCCCTAAACCACTCGCTCCCTAAACGGCTGGTGGGATTACCGCCACGACCAAATTTTGTGATCCACTTCCCCCGGAGGAGGCTCCTGTGTTGGTGTTGGCCCCCGCTTCCAAGCCTCCGAGAGGGGCGCCGCGCGCGGAGCGCTTCTGGCGCGCACCGGCGGCGCCGGCTGCTGTGGTCTGCCGTTGACGCTGCTCCCGCTCCCTTCCTCCATGCAGCGTGTCGGAAAAATCAAGACGGAGGCTTTCCGTCGTTTTCCGCGTCTGGGAGCTCTTAACGGGCCTCAGGACCGTCGGCAAACGATCCGGCACGAAAAATGAGTCCAGGGGAAGTGGTCTAGAGTTCCGAAGCATCGGAGAAATTCAAGGCATCGGACGCTTGACGTTCCCACACCAAAACTCAACGGACTTCCTGGGGTTTCAAGGTTGGGTTTCTTGTGGAAGTTCTCTTGTGGTCGAGCTCCTACTGTATGCCGATATCCTCGTCATCATCACCATCATCACCATCATCATCATCATCATCACCATCAACATCATCAGCATCAGCATTACCGTCACCATCACCATCATCATAATCAAGGTCAGCATTCTGGTCATCATCATTATCATCAACATCATCAGCAACATCATCATCGTCATCAACACTATCATAATCATCAGCAGCATCGTCCTCATCATCAACAGCAGCATCATCGTCATCATCAGCAGCATTGCCATCACCACTATTATCATCATCATCATCATCATCATCAGCATCAGCATCAGCATCAGCATCATCATCATCATCATCATAATCAGGATCTTCAGCATCATCATCAGTATTATCATTATCATTATCATCATTATCATCACATTCTCCTACTCTCTTCCTTTCCCCAGAACTATCCTTGTCGTCAGTCGGCTATCCTCTTCATCAACGCACTCCCCCTCTTCGTCCTTCTCGTCCTCCTGTCGGTCGATCTTAGGGCGCGGGGAGACGCCGTGGCGCCCCTCGGGCCCCCTTTGCCTCCTCGCCAGTCGTGTTTCTTACTGCCCCTGCTGCGCCACGTGCAAAAAGTCGGCGCGTCATCACATCGCGAGGCGAGCAGCCGTGTGAGCGAAGGTCCATGGCCCTCCCGGGACAGAATTCCTGCACGGCGGAAGCCTGCATTTTTGCGCGCCCCCTCGGCCATCGAGATCAGTTTCTGTCAAGTGTCTCCCCTGGGAACGAATAACAGAGTGGGCTGCACTCGTTCCTACACTTTGACTCCCAGCTTTGAAAGAAACCCAAACAACAGAGTTCTCGCGTTCACGATTGGTGAAGCCGTGCGGCGCAGCAGGTGTATGTTGCGCCAATCCGCCTCCTCCTCCGCCTCCGCCTCCGCCACCTCCTCCTCCTCCTCCTCCTCCTCCTCCTCCTCCTCCTCCTCCTCCTCCTCCTCCTCCTCCTCCTCCTCCTCCTCCTCCTCCTCCTCCTCCCCCTCCTCCTCCCCCTCCTCCTCCCCTCTCCTCCTCCTCCTCCCCTCTCTCCTCCTCCTCCTCCTCCTCCTCCTCCTCCTCCTCCTCCTCCTCCTCCTCCCCTCCTCCCTCCTCTCTCCCCTCCTCCTCCTCCTCCTCCTGTCCTCCTCTCTCCTCCTCCTCCTCCTCTCCTCCTCTCCTCCTCCTCCTCCTCCTCCTCCTCCTCCTTCTCTCCTCCTCCTCCTCCTCCTCCTCCTCCTCCTCCTCCTCCCCTCTCCTCCCCTCTCCTCCTCCTGTCCTCCTCTTCCTCCTCCTGTCCTCCTCTTCCTCCTCGTCTTCCTCCTCCTCCTCCTCCTCCTCCTCCTGGGGCGCCAGCCCAGATGCACCAGCCGCCCATGGGTCACCAGGATGGCAGCCTGAAATCGCGACAAAGTGGGGCCCCAACCACAGGGCACCATGGGGCATTACAGGGCATCCTGCATGGTACCGCACACAGGACACCAGGGCGGCAGCCATACATCTCGGCCAAGTACAACACAAACTATGGGGCACCAAGGGGCATCACAGGGCACGACCCAGAGGGCATCACCCAAAGGGCACCACCCAAAGGGCCTCACTTGGTCGCTATAGATGGTGGCATCGTAGGAGGCCAGAGGGCATAAACCGCAGGGCACCGACCACATACCATAGGGCACCAGGGCAGTGACCAGATATCGCGACACTTGTGCAATCATAGGGCACCAGCACAGCCATGTGCCACCAGGGTGGCAACCATAATTCGCAACACATCCGGGCGCTATAGGCCATTACACAAGGGCATTAGGGCGGCAACCAGACATCGGGACAAGTGGGGCATCATGGGTCGCCAGCCAAAAGGCGTCCCTTTTAGGGGACCAGGGCGGCAACCAGACATCGGAGCACATATTTCCACTTCTTTTCGAGTGAAGCGAGACCTCATGAGTGCAAGACTTGCTTTGGCAAATCGGAATTCGTTTGCGTAAGGAGCGTTTGTGGAGCATCGCAGCATGGAGATACATCATAGAGCGCTAGCCACATGGCAGACATCGGGACATGTTGGGACATCATTGGGAATCAGACATAGGGTATACCCCCCCCACATGCCAACAGCGCGGCAGCCATTTGCCTGGCAGCGCAATACAGTCTAGCACCAGGGGGAGCAGCCATAGCGAGCCAGTGTGGCAGCCAAGAAGTCGCGCCATAGTGTTTTAAATCATCGTGGGCCAAATCAGAGCCCCGTCCGTGCATCCAGCGCGTGGGTAGCATTGAGAATATTGAAACTCAGGGCACCAATGCAGTGACGAGAATTCGCAACTGTGTTGGCATCATCGGGCGCCAGCCTTAGAGCACTATCCACAGGGCACCTGGGCAAGAACCTGAACTGGCAGCTGCTACGAGATCACAGAGAAGAGCTCCACCCGTAGGGCACCAGGGCTAGGACTATGTCGGGCATGTCCCTCTACAGGAGCAGTGTTCAAGAGTGGTAAACCATAGTCTGGTGACGGCTGTTCGTGCTCTTTTGACCGTTTTTGTTTGTGTGTTGACTCTTGTTTAAGTTTCTCCCCAAATCCGCCTGCATCGCAACACACATCCGGCTGCGTGTGGCGAGTCCCGCCGTCGTGCCAGCGCATCACCTCCGCGCGGCGCCGCCTCGAGCGTCGAGGGTCGCAGCACGTGACGCCTTTCCGTTTCTGTGCCGTGAGGTACTCTCGTAGGAGGCCGGCTGGGCCCTCGTGGGGCTGTCTTTGGGCTCTCGTGGAGCCCCGTTCGGGCCCTCTAGAGATCCTCTTGGGCCGTCTTGGGCTCCCCTCGGCCGTCTGGAGACGCTCTGGGGGTTGTCTTGGGTTCTTAGTACACATCGCCAGATTTTGCCCCGAAAATGTGCTGCTCCCCTCCCGCGGCAACAAAGCACAGAGGTACTCTCGAAGCATGTTCCTTCTTGAGCAACTGCTGCTTATGACGACACCCCCCTTCAGGGCATTTGCTGCTACTCCAGGCTATTTGCCACCTTCTCCGCCTGCTGTTTCCATACGGCCAACACGCTGAACTATGGACCACTTCGGCTTCACGAGGGGCTCTGGTTCTTTGTGCGCTCCTTAAGCCTAGATCGGGAAACTGTTCGTGGCCGAGGCCCGACAATTTCCTTCGTTACATAGCCAGTGATCCTCATCGCAGCACGGTAGCTGCATACTATTCCTTTTTCACGCTGCACAGACTTTGGCGCACCAGTGGGTTGCAGCGTCGACATGACAAGCAAGGCTCCGGCCTGGGCGTCAGGGCCTGGCGGCAGGAAGAAGAGAGACGTGTGCAATGAGAGGCCGAGTATGGCAAAGAGGGGGGGGAGAGAGAGAGAGAGAGAGAGAGAGTGAGAGTGAGAGGGAGAAAGAAAAAGAAAGAGAGAGAGAGAGAGAGAGAGTGAGAAAGAGAGAGAGAGAGAGAGGCGCAGAGTGCCAGTGATAATTCCTGATCTTCCTCGGCGGCAGAGGGGGAGGATCGAGGAGGAGGAGGAGGAGGAGGAGGAGGAGGAGGAGCAAGAGGAGGAGCAAGAGGAGGAGAGAGGAGGAGGAGCAAGAGGAGGAGGAGGAGGAGGAGGAGGAGGAGGAGGAGGAGGAGGAGGAGGAGGAGGGGCGGCGATGGGGCGGCGATGGGGCACGGCCGGGGAGGACGCAGGGGAGCAGATGGGGCGGGGTCACCGGCCGAGGGCGGGCGGGCGCGCCCCGCGAAGCCGACGCCGAGCTCGCCGACCTGGAGCGCTCGCGCGCGCGGGCGCCCGCGAGAGGCCTGCAACACGTACTTCGCCAGGCAGCTGCTGCCCCACGTGCACGAGGACCGAACCGGTCCTGAAGCCAAGAAACCTAGGAGGAGGAGGAGGACGAGGAGGAGCAGGAGGAGGCGGAGGAGGATGAGGAGGATCACGCAACAGGCCCCGCCTCACGTTTGCCTAACGCCAAAAGAGAGGAGGAGGACATGGCGCGCTCCCTTTGCCCCCCTCCTCTCCCCCCCCTGGCGCTCCCTGCCGCTCTGAGCCCCCCCCCTGCACGTGGGGCAGCTGCTGCCCCACGTGCACGAGGACCCGCTTTCGGCGCCAAGTCTCGGGGAAACGCAAGACTTGAGTAAGCCGGAACTCGGGTTTGCCGGCGTTTTCTGACGAGCGCGTCCTGGATGTTTACGGTCCCGTTTTCGTGGGATGCTCGCAGCGGGAGCCCGCGTCAAATTTCAGATTGGGTCTCGTCATTTTTTATGATAGCCCCGTCAGGCCAACCCGATTTCCCCGTACCCGAGTCTTGAGTCTCCCCGATTGTTTACGCTTCGAGAGTCCCCACCAGGTCATTCAGGAGCCCTGCCCATGAGAGCTGACGGGAAAAGGGGCGAAGAGACACGGGAGGCTATCTTGGAGCATCGGAGACCCTCGTGAAGCTAATAAGCCTGTATTGGGGGATATTGGGGTCCTCTTGGAGTTTGGGGCATCTTGGGCCCTCCTGGCGCTCGTTGGGGGGTCTTGGGGTCCTCTTGGGGCTCTTTTGGAGTACCTTGGGGCCCTCATAGGGCCCTGATGGGGCCCTCTTGGGGCTCTCTTGGGGCCCTCTTGGGAGTCGGAGCGCCTCCTGGAGCCATCTTGGAGACCATCGATCAAAGGAGGGGGGGGTCCTCGATTTGCCTCTCCCCTCGGGGGGGTTTGAAATAGTCTCTTGGGGCGCTCTTGGTGCCTTTTAGTGGCGATCTTGGGCGTTCTTGGGGCAGTCTTGGGGCCCCTTGGGCCCTTCTTGGAGCTCTCGGGGGCCATCTTAGGGCCATCTCGAGGCAACAAAAGCGCATCGGAAGCGAAAAGGCGAGAAGGCACAAATCAGTGGTTTTCCTAAGGTTTTTGAAGAATTGTGGCTTCTCGGGGAGGTCCGGAGAGGTCGTCAAACGCACTTGGATCCGTCTTGTGGCCTTCCTAGGGCCTCTTGGAGGCATGGTGTTAGCTATCTTGAGCCATGTTGGGCTATCTTGAGCGATCTTGGTTGGAGACCATCTTGGGCTCTCTGAGGCCCTCTTGGAACCCCCCCGTCCAGGTCCAAGGTAGGGGGTAGGGGGATGGGTAACCCCTCACCGAAGGGGAAGACGGGGTCGTGAAAGAGGAAAGAAAGACATCGTTAGACCACCTGTCGCCCAGGGCTGTCGCGTCGACTCACGTCGATCAGCGTCTGGGAGTCGACGAGATAGCGCCGATCTAGCGTCGATTAACGTCGATTTAACGTCGATGAGCGTCGATGTAGCGTCGATCTGCAAGAGCCGCCAAGGTGGTATGGGAGGCTCCCATGAATTGCCACCGAACCCGCTCGGCGGCAAAATCCGAACCCCGCCCGCGCGGACCAACGGCTCAGGCGACTCTCCAGGCACCACGAAGGACCACAAGCACAGCCAACGATTTTTTTCTGGACGGCCCTTCGAGGAAGAACCCACCGACCTCGACACACCCTCGCGGACCAACGGCTCAGGCGACTCGATGGGCGCCGGGGGTGGGGCTCGGCACCCGCCCGAGCGCGTGGCGAAGTCCGAGCCCTGCCCCCCGCCTCCCCTCGATGCAGGAACATCGAGGGCTGGTGAGGGTGGAGC